ATTGTATTGACAATTTTTGAATTTTTATCTAATTTGTTGAATTTAAACAATCATATTTTTAATATCTAAGATTCTTTCTTTATTACCTAATTGTATCTTTTTCATAGCATCCAGTTTTTGTCCAACAGATTCAGTAACTTCTCATATATATCTCTTTATAGCTATTAATTAAAATTTTAAGGAATTCTCTTCTGAGCCCCCAATTATTTCTTTTCCCATGGGCTTGGTTGTTTTCATATTTCATATTTCTCTCTCATGCCATATTTCTCTCTTATGTGTCTAGTGACCCTTGGTCCTCTCCTTTCATATTTGAGAGAGAAGCACCAGCCTGGCTGCTCTGGGTGCCTGGTGTGTGCTGCTTATCTGTGGTTATGGTAGGTCTGTATCCCCACGAGGCCTCTCCCTTGACCGGGAGGGCAACAGGAAACACTGTGAAAGGATAGGACTTGTGGCCCCAAAGCAGCATTTTGGGAGGAGCCATTAGACACATGGCTGGTACATGCTAAGTGAGGCAGGCCTTATTCTAGACTGGTTGTTCTCCATACTGGCTGGACCTGGTAAACTTAAAGGAATCCTGATACCCAGACCATATGTAGAGCCAACTAAGACAAAATCTCTGGGGGATGAGGGGCCGGGCATCAGTATCTTTCAAAGTTCCCCTGGCAACTTATTAGAAATACAAATTCTCAGGCCTACCCTAGACTTTCTGACTCAGAAATTCTGCAGGTTGGGCCCATTCATCCTTGTTTTAACAAGTCCTTCAGGAAGTTTCCGGTGCTGCTGCTGCTGGTCCAGGAATACACTGTGAGCAGCAGTGTTTTAGAGCAGCAGTCCCCTAACTTTTCAGCACCAGGAACCAGTTTCATAGAAGACAATTTTTCCATGGACTGGGGTTGGGGCAGGAGATGGTTTGGGGATAATTCAAGCACCTTACATTTATTGTATATTTTATTTATATTATTATTACATTGTGATATATAATGAAATAATTATACAACTCACCATAATACAGAATCAGTGGGAGCCCTGAGCTGCTTGTCCTGCAACTAAACGGCCCCATCTGGGGGTAATGGGAGACAGTGACAGCCAAAGTGTGTTGCTCACGTCTAGTCTATTCCTTAATCTCATTTTGGCTGCTGTCACTGCAGAAAACCCTGCTTCACAAAGATAGGATGCTGGAAATGGAAGCAGGTTTTTCAGTGCTTCAGTGGCAAGCTCAGGATAATTTGCCTTGACTTTAATCCAGAACGTATGGAGATTTCAAGTTGTCTCAAACATACTTTCAAGGCCACTGTCATTTGTGATCTGAAGCAGTCATCCTCTTCTAGCACAGACAAAGTCGATTCACCTGACTTATTCACAAATGGGTTGTGGATCCACTCCTTCCAAGTTTGGGGGTTTTTGTGTGTGTGTGTGTGGGGTTGGGTAATAATGGTCAAATTCTTTTGAAAGCTGAGATAGGTGATCATGCAGCAGCTAGGAGAAGGAAAGCCCCGGCTCAGTCTCTTTCGAAATCTCTGCTAATGTTTGAAACATGTCAAAAATCCCAGTGTTCGCTTGTCATCCCGAAACTTCCAATTTGGCTTTGAGTGCAGCCACTTTATCTGCCAACTTGAACACAGCTGTTGTTCTCCCCTGAAGATCGAGTTCATTGAGCAGGTTGAATATGTCACAAAAGCAAGTTAGGTGACCCATTCCGTGTCACTGAAATGTGCTGCCAGTGGTGACTGTTTTTCTAAAAGAAATCTCTGGAATGGCTCTCATGACTCAAAAACTCGGCGATCTACCTTTAGAAAGGCATCTCACTTCTGTGGATAAGAGATTTGTGTGCTCTGCGTCCATCTCCTCACAGAGCTGCACAAGCAGACGTGAGTTAAGGGCACGCACTCGTACTTTAATGTGGTTAATAATTTTAATCACATCCTCCAAAACATTTAGTTGAGGTGACATTGTTCAGCTAGTCAGCATTTCTCTATGAATAGCACAGTGCAGAGACTCACATTCAGAAGTGACCTCCTTGACCTGAGTAGTAAAACCAGAAAGCCGTCCGGTCATGGCAGTGGCTCCATCCAGGCACATACTGACACAAAAGGAACAACTAAGTGCACATAACATATCCTCATGCACACCCTCCTGAGAAATATGTCCCACAAAAGCAAGCATTGTTGCCTTGTTGTCGACATCAGTAGACTCGGCAACCTGGATTGTGTACCACAGTGACTCATTAATCCTCTCTAACAATCCTGTCTCAATATCCACTGCTATTTCATCAGTTTGTCTAGTTATGGTGCTAGCTGGAAGAGGAATACCTTCCACCTTTTGAACTGAGCCTCTTCTAAAAGTTCACAGTCAACGTCCTCAGCAGCAGGCAGGATCAACTCTTCACCAGTAGTAAAGGGCTTCTTAGTGTTAGCAATGTGGTCAGCCACTAAGAGTGATGCCCTCAGTGCAGACACATTTGGTGAAGTGGTGGCCTTCAATAATTACTTCTGTTCTTCATGTTCACGTTTTTTTCTTTTGAAAAACTCCAAAGGCTCATCTTTTATTGCGGTTGCTTGGTCTCCATGTTGCAAAGCAATTTTCAGGGTGTCAGGGCTTCACTAGTTAGCTGGTCTCCACATATTATACAAAGTGGGCTTGAAGAATGTGAATCACCAGTTGCAATGAATCTGTAATTTAAGTAGGACTCTTGGAATTTTCTTTCTTTCTTTCTTTCTTTTCTTTTTTGAGACAGAGTCTCTGTTGCCCAGATTAGAGTGCCATGGTGTCAGCCTAGCTAACAGCAACCTCAAACTCCTGGGTTCAGGTGATCCTCCTGCCTCAGCCTCCCAAGTAGCTGGGACTACAGGATGTGCCACCATGCCGGCTAATTTTTTCTATTTTTTAGTAGAGATGGGGTCTCACTCTTGCTCAGGCTGGTCTCAAACTCTTAGGCTCAAATAATCCACCCATCTCAGCTTCCCAGAGTGCTAGGGTTACAGGCGTGAGCCACTGCACCCAGCCAATATTTTCTTTTAAATTCAGCTTTCATTTTGTTGGCAGTGTTATAGTCTTCTGCTTTCTCATCATTGGGCCTTTCCCCCTTTTCAAAGAAGGTCTCCAACGACATTTGTTTTTTACTCATTTTTGCTACGGTTAGCTTGTGGGCTTACCAAAACTGTGACTGAGACAAGTGCGCAGTGTGGGAAAAGGATGAAGACAGCAATGGTAAATAAAATAATGGGTGAGCCACATGTGGACTAAAATAAGTGTCGGATTCTGACTTAAAGCCTGCCACCAGATGCAGCTGTATAATTGAGGTATATCAACTCACTTGCCATTGTAAAGCCTGCCTCCAGATTCAGCTTGTCACTTGCCATTCACTGATAGGATTGTGATATGAGTCTGCAAGCAATTGATTTATTATGGTCTCTATCAAGTCGAACCTCTCTGCTAATGATGAGCTGCATTAGCAGCTGCTCCCCAATGCTAGCATCACCACCTCAGCTCCACCTCAGATCATCAGGCATTAGTTTCTCATAAGGAGCAGCAACCTAGATCCCTCACACGCGCAGTTTACAGTAATGTTTGTGCTCCTATGAGAATCTTATGCCACCTCTGGTCTGACAGGAGGCAGAGCTCAGTCAGTGATGCCAGCGATGGGGAGCAGCTGTAAATACAGATGAAGCTTCACTCACTTGCCTGCCACTCACCTCCTGTGCAGCCTGCTTTCTAAGAGGCCAGTCCACAGCCAGGGGGATCAGGACTTCAGCCTTAGAGCAAATCTGCCCACATTGGAAGTCCAGCTCTTCTTGAGAAATTTGTCCAATTTCCCTTTAAAAAGTGCTTTATTATTGGCCTGAGGTTGCAATCACTCTGTCGTAAACAGACTTCCAGAAAGTCCTGCAGCATTCCCCTCCCCCAGGCCTCCAAAGCCTGCCCACTCTCAGCCTGTGCCCCCCTGGGGTTCAGGAAGAATCAGTCCCCAACCCCCATCCAGCCTCCCTCTGACAATGCTCTGGGCTGCAGGTTTTGACTTCCTTTCTCTTGGGTCCTCACCTGTCCCTTTGTTCTCCGGCTTGCAGAACCATTTTTCTCAGAACTAATTTTTAAACTGATAATGACCTTGTTTCCAGGCCACCCTGCACAGTCGCCCACTCATGCTCTACTGCTGACCCTGAGTGCACCTTAGAGGCTTTCTGGTCACCCAGGACGGGCCTGCTTTCCAGCTCGCAGTCAGGGCTGTCACCGTAGCTCATCTGTTGTCAGTTGTGTACAGGCACCGCGTTTTACTGACAAGGTCTAAGTCAATTCCCTAACAGCACCCCGAGGTAGGTACTACAATTCTCTCCATTTAGAAATGGAGACAGGCCAGGCATGGTGGCTCACGCCTGTAATCCTAGCACTCTGGGAGGCCGAGGCGGGAGGATCGTTTGAGCTCAGGAGTTCGAGACAAGCCCGAGCAAGAGCAAGACCCCGTCTCTACTAAAAAAATAGAATGAAATTAATTGGCCAACTACAAAATATATAGAAAAAATTAGCCGGGCATGGTGGCACATACCTGTAGTCCCAGCTACTCAGGAGGCTGAGGCAGGAGGATTGCATGAGTCCAGGAGTTTGAGGGTGCTGTGAGCCAGGCTGACACCACGGCACTCTAGCCTGGGCAACAGAAGTGAGATTCTGTCTCAAAAAAAAAAAAGAAGAAAAGGAAGAAATGGGGACAGTGAGATGCAGAGAGGCCACAGTGCCAGCTCATGATCCATAGGCCCAGGGCTACGTTCCACCTGTCCTCTAAGAGGACAGACACTCCTCCCATGGGAAGTGGCCGCCAGGCTGCAAGGGTGCCCCACCTAGGATGAACGGGAATTGCAATCTTGCAGCCACTACCCCTTGTCTCTGTTTTTAAAAAGGTATTAAATAAAAATAACACATCTTTTAAAAATTAAAGTGAATTGAAATTCGTTTTATTTTGAGAGCTTCACGGTAGCTCTTGAGATAAATTAAAGTGACTTTAAATGAACTTAGCTTTGAGATTACCTCAATAGCTCTGAGGATATGCATAGTCTTGGAGTCTCACAAACCTAGGCTAGAAATCTCTGGCTGCAGCTGGAGAAAGATAATTCTCTGCCTTCCACCCGAGGGCTCCTGGCCAGGAAAGGAGAAGAGACCCCAGGCACGAGGTGAGAAGCCAGGGTGGGAGAACCGGCCCCTTCCTCTGCACCAGAGACCCTGTTTCTAGAGAGAGCTTCAGCAGTGTTTTCATGCCTGAGCCTCCTCGCTCAGGAAGGAGGAACCTAAACAAACTCACCTGCCTGTGGTTCTCCTATAGTGCTAATTGGAGGCTAGATTCACTGCAGTTTTCACACCCGGGTCTAGGCAAGGTTGTGGTGTTAAGCAGAATGTTCCAAAGTCCTGTGGTTATGACCAAACGCCACATGGAGACAGAAGCATCGAGCACCACACGGATTCCCAGGAGCCCTGGTGTTCCAGGCCCGCCAACGTCAGCCCGTCTCCACCCGTTCTCCCCGCGAGACGGTGCCGAGAGCCCCAGCCGCGGGGCTGAGGTGCACACCCTTGCGTGGCTCACCTGCTGTCGGAGCTCTTCATGCTCTCTTCCGAACTTCACAATGAGCCCAGGGAAGAAAACAGGCGTGTGTCACACAAACCCTGATGTGGATGAAAAGTGCGAACAGTGAGAAGGGCTTAGAGGTAAACTGTGTGCACAGCGACGGCGTTTCGGCGGTCCCCTGGGCGCGTGACCGCACGCGCATGCGCAGGTGGGGGAGCGTGGAGGGGCGTGGCTGCTCTCACGCGCGGTGCCTGTGCACAGCTGAGCTACAGTGACAGCCCTGACTGCGAGCTGGAAGGCGGGCCTGTCCTGGGTGACCAGGGAGCCTCCAGACGCAGGTGGCGTCAGCAGTAGAGCAGGAGTGGGCGACCGTGCAGGGTGGCCGGGGACAAGGGGACCGCTGCCCGCTCTGCCCAAACCGCAGTTGACGGAGCGCAAGCGTGTGAGGCAGCCCTGCTGACGGGCCACCTGTCCCCCGGAGCATCTGAGCAGGGCAGGAGCCACGGGCATCTCACACAGCCTTTGGGACCGAATGGCTCCTCGGTGTGCCTGGAGGTGTGAGAGGCAGCTGGCTGTGTGCTCCAGCACTCTTCACTGAAAGACAGAGACAGAGCGAAGAGCTTGGGGGAGAGGAAAGGAAAAGCAGGAATGTCGGACATTTCACACAACGCAGTAACCAGGGAGGCAAGAGCAGTTACAGAACAGTTTGAGCCAAAGAGTCACTGAGCGACGGGAACAGCAATGACTTAAATATTTAAAACAGACACCCCGTGAGTTGCTGTGGAGGCGGCTCTTTGTTAATATTTAACACAAACTGGGCAGTCACTGGGAAAACAACTGTTTACAGGAGAGATTAACCAACATCCCCAATTGCTCAAAGCCCTGGGGAGACTACAGGGACAAGCAGCTGCTTGTGTTTCTAGATTACAGCAGCCGAGGCCACAGGGGTGGGGAGGCCCTTGGCGGTCCCAGGGGTGCGGTGAAAACTGTAAACACGCCCGCTCGGGTCGCCTGTCCTGCTCCAGAATCCCGGTTTGCAGGAAACCCAGCCCTGCAGCTGGGCCTGGGTGGTGGCTGCTGGCCGGCCGGCCCCTCGCTTGGGCAGCTGTGTCCTGCCGCCCCTGCTGGGCTGTCCTTCGGGCCCCATGTGCTGTCCCAGGCAGGTTCCCTGCAGACTCCCTGGGTGAAGCTAGGGGCAGGTGCTCGCAAGCGGAGGAGGTCGGGGTCTAACTTGTGGAAGGAGTCACAAGCCTGCTTGGGAGTCCTCCAGCTCACACTCAGGCCTGGAGGACACGGGGCCAGTTGGCCTCCTAGGGATGACAGCTAGCCTGCTTCCAGGAACTGTGGGATAGGAGTGCTGCTCATGACAGCTTCCAGTTCAGTGTGCCAGGCCTCTGCGAGCCCGACGGTCTCCTTAGCCTGGGTGGATCAGTCATGAGTGAAGGGTCCACTTACCTCAAGCCTTACTCTCCCGGGTCTACTTCCAACCATCCGACCACCCCCGCACCCTCCCACCCAGGCCTTGTGGCACTACACACGGACGGCTCTTGAGCTCTACTGGACGTGAGACCCCAGTTCAGGGCTGAGGAACGCCGGAGTCTTGCATTCTGACGCTGTCTCCCAGGCGCTTTACACCCACAGCCCTGGCGCTTCCCGCACTCCGCTGCCCACTCTGCCCAAACCACCGTTGACCTTGACCCACGGACAACTCTCCAAACAGTTGTTTGCACACCTGGCTGTTTACTATAAAGGAGGAAATGCTCTGCAACACGGGGGCCCCAGGGTCTAGTAGCATCCATGGCCCATTGAGCGGTCACTGGGTCATTCTTGTGGATGATTTTCATTTTACGGTTGTCCAGCATCAGAATGGCATTCTGACATTTGAGGAGTCAGCTGTTTTGGTGGGAGGCAAGTTCCTGCTTCCCTCTACAGAAGCATAAAAGGCCAGAAATGTGCCCTCCCTGAGCCCTGGAGGGGAGTAGTGCTCAGCAGTCACATATCTTAGCAAGCGCGGAGATTTTATTGTTCGTGTCCCCATTCCCAAGTGGCTGGAGCAGTAGCATCGGTGTCCTGGGTGCAGGGAGCAATAGCAAACGAATGCTCAGCACCAGCAATGTCCTAGTTACATGTCCTGGGGCTGCGGCTGTGGCCACCCAGCACCTCTGGGCTCCTGACCATTTCCCCAAAGTGCTTCTGCCGCCAGTTATCTGTGGGCCACTTGGTGTCCTTTGACACACTCCTCTTCTGATGATTAACAAAAATCGATTTGCAGGCAGGAACCTTGACAGACACAGAGCCTGGCCCTATACTGCTGTTTGAGGACCGTCTCCTGCCCTGGCAGTGCTCTTCGAAGCTAGATGTGGCCAGCTTGATGTGATATACATGCAAGGACAGCCTGCCCTCCCTGCCTCCCACCCCGTCCCTCCTCGGCATTCTGATGGACTCAGTTGTCCCCCAAATTGCACACATCAATCAAAATTCAGCAGCATACGCATAAAGGGTGGGCGGCACCAGGGCCCTGACATGTTCCAGCTACCAGTCACAGCAGGTCGGGGTGGGAATTGCAGCCTGGAAGGGGAACAGCAACCTCCGATTTGTAGCCACAGGACACACAGAGCTTTTCCACCTTTCCTTTCTGACGGCCACTGCAGCTCCCTGAAGCGGGGGTCCTCACGCTTAGCGGAGCAACTAGACACATGCACAGTTACTGCAGGTGACTGTGCCCCTGCCCATGGCCAACCATCATGAAACACAGGATTGTGACAGAGGAGAGGAGGCAACTTAGAGGACCAGGGTGGCCCGAAATTGAGACCCGCACATTGGCTGAGATTAAGTCCTCATTACCAGATGGAATTGAGGCTTAAAATAAAAACTGAGTTCTGATTGAAAACTACAGCAAGTGGCCACTGTTATGACCCTGAGTTCTGGAGTGAAGTTTATTCCTCCGGGAATGTGAAGAGTCATGGACTGGGGTTTCCGAAAAGGAAACCTCCTGTCACTTTTCCTGGCCAAGAGTGTTCTCTCCCTTCTCCATTCCCATCACTCATTCTCACTCAACAGAACCTCACTGAGCACCTCCTGTGTGCATGAGCCCAGCTGTGGGCAGGCCACAGGCTCCAGAGCAGGGCACAGCCAGGTGGGTGGCCAGGCTGGGACAAGTGTCAGGGACAGCTGGACTTTGGGCTCCACGCTGCCAGGCTAAGCCAAGGGGGAAGCGAAGCTCAGACAGCAGCAGGCATTTGCGGGACTGGGGTTTGGGAGGGCCAGTGCGTGTGCCGGGGCACAGGGACAGTCGGGGGTGGGGCAGGTTGTGGGACAGTGCCTGAGGCGACCCTGAGATGACCTGATCACCCGACTGGCCAGCTGCTTACCCCTTGGCTCTGGCCTTGGGCAGAAGGTCACGGTCTGCCCTGTGCTGTGGTCCACTGGCTCCTTTGTTCCCTTTTATGCCCATCCCCTCAGCATCCTACTGTGTTTATTGTGTGTCCTTCATTTGCATGTGTCTAAGCATGGCATGCGCTATTGCATTTTGTTTTCTTAAAATTATTTCTTTACTAGACTTAAAATGTTTTATTTTATACTTTATTGTAGTGAAATATGCATGATGTAAAATTTACCATTTTAACCATTTTTAAGTGTACCATTCTGTGGCATTAAGTACCTTCACACCGTTGTGTAACTACCACCACCATCCATTTCCAGAACCTTTTCATCTTCCCCAACTGAAACTTTGTAATTTTTTTTCAAGATAAGGTCTTGCTCTGTTGCCCAGGCTGGAGTGCAGTGATGCAATCATAGCTCACTGCAGCCTTGAACTCCTGGGCTCCAGTGATTCTCCCACCTCAATCTCCTGAGTAGCTGAGACTACAGGTGTGCACCCTCATACCCAGCTAACTTTTTAATTTTTTGTAGAGAAGGGATATCAATATGTTGCTGGTCTTGAACCCCAGACCACAAGCAATCCTCCCTCCTCAGCCTCCCAAAGTGCTGGGAGTATAGGCGTGAGCCACAGTGCTCAGCCAAGAATTTCCTTGCTTTTTAATGCTGAATAATATTCCCTTGTATGCGTATACCACATTTTGCTTATCATCCATTGCAATCACTATTGTTCTGCATTATTAATTTACACAAATAACATTCATTATTGGCCTTGTTCAGTTCCTGACATTCACTCAGCACCACAACCTTCAGATCAGGTTTGGGCCATTGCTTCCAACAGGGCCCTGGCATCCGAGTGTGCCGGGTGCACCTAGCTCACCCCTCCTCCAGTGACAGACAGCCCCGCCCACGTGGAACATTCCCGCTGGAAACGTCGGCATGCACACCCCATCTATCATCATCCTCATCTCCACGTTTATGTTTTCCACCCTTCCTATTTCCATTTGGTTCTTTTATGGCCCCCTGTTTCTGCTTTATATTATTAATACTGCCCCTTAGCTACGAATATTTATTATACTTATTGAAATTCCGGATCTGACCTGAAAATTCTGCTCCTCGGGGTGATTATCATTCAGTGTGCTGTCCTCACGTGAGAGAGGCACACTCTCTCGGACTCGAATTTTCCTTTGGCCTGTGGGTGCATATCCTACTGGGGGTGTTGGCCACCCTTTTAGGGGACAGGTAGTGGGAAACGTGCTGCAGCCCAGGCCCTGGTCTTGGTGTCTGTGTCCCTCCTGGAGGGGTTTATGAGAGGAAGAGGATGAGCCCTGTGACTACGGGATGACTGCTGAGCACCTGTATTTGCTGTTGCCAGAATCCTCCCTAAACTCACAGGTGTGGGGGGCCCTGGGAGGAGATGGGTTTTCCAGATCACAGCCCACCAGTCCTGGGAGCAGAGGGGAGAGGCAAGGAAGGGTGTCCGAGGAAGGCTGATCTGAGTGTACCTGGCCTCCACCCAAGCACCTAAGAGGTGCTGCCTGCTGGGACCCTTCTTGCCAGTCTGTGAGGGCCTCGGCGAGGGTCCGCAGGCGGCTTTCCGGCCGCCAGTTGTTGCCTCCAGGAATATCCTAGAGGGTGAGGGAGGCATTCTCATCCATCCTGGAGTTCCCGCCTGAGCTTCCCTCTCATGCTGGCCCCACCTGTGTCCCAAAGACAGCACCCTGGGCTGTCCCCTCCACTGCCATCTGCTTCCGAGGGGCTGCCTTTCCGTGTCACTTAATGGGGGAGCTTCTCTCCCTTTTTTCTCACTTCCCATTTAGCATGTTCTTTCCATTTTCACGGTGTTTTCTGCAATCTTGGCTTCGGCTTTAGTGGATAGCTTCCGTTCCTATTTAAACTTTTTAAAAAGCAATTCAAACTCAACATACAAATGAGGAATGTAGCTAAAAATGGGAGACGTGAAGAGGGTTTTTTTTTTTAAAAAAAAAGTCAGAGCAAATATATTTGGAATTTAATTTTCCTTAGGAAAAAACGCCTTGCAGACAGAGAGTCTGCATCCTGTGTTTGAGCACCAATGGCCTCTGGTGTCTTTATTTGTAAACCCAACATGGTGATATATGACTCCGCAAAGCCTCACTTCCCTCCTAGCAAAATTAGAACAAGGGCTCCTCTCTTCCTCCCGCCAGTCCTCCCCCCGACTTCACGTCTCTCCCCTTTCCTCCCTTTCATCTTCTTGGGGGGTTGTGGGCAAATAAGACAACACCTTATGGGAAACACTTAGAGCTATCAGACAGGGAGTGTCTATAAAGCAAGCCACTGCCACTTAATTGCAAGTGCATTTCGGCTCTGGCATCGTGAAAGGGATGCAGACAGGTGGGAACTGCTGTGTGCTGGGAGACAGGGACAAAGGAGACCGGTGGGAAGGGAAGACAGGC